TTCCCTTCACAGTGATACTGATGGGTCCTCTGAATCATTCCAGTATCCACCCACCAACTTTTGTATGATTTTTTTTTTTTTTAAAGATTTAACGCTTCACGTAAATAATGAACACTGGTGGGTGCCACAAGGGATGGCTGTGTTGCTTAGCCACATGAGGTCAGCAAAGTGACAGAAGAAAGCTGGGACTGACCCTTCCATTACCATATGGCTGGTCTGTGTATGTGGGCAAGGTCATAGCTTAGAAAATTCCTTAAATGGTCTTTTTTTTTTTTTCAGAGCATCCATGGTTTGCCACCTCTGTGGGCAACTGAATGGTTAAGCTTTCTGCAAAAGAGGCCCCAAGCTGTCGAGCACAGCACTGCTCTTACTAGTCTTGCAGTTTGCACTGTGTGTAAGTAGGAGGCCGCTCTGCGTAAGGTCGTGCCCATTACCAGTTAAATGGATCAGTTCCCATTGCAGATACAGCTGACTTCACTGTATTAAAACTAAAATTAAATTATTTCTCAATACTTAAAGGACAGATGATTTTGCAAAACCTAAACAACCCACCCTGTCCGAAACTACTGCGCTAGGCACGATTAAAGCTTTACCCTTTTGTTTGCTTGATTTGGGCATGCCGGTTCAAATTTGATTGGATCTCTTATCTATTGGGAGATAGTCATGTTTTCCTCTGGAGCATTTTAAACTGGCCACAGACTGGGTCAGGCCTCTGAACTAACTCATCCAAGCCAGTGTGGCCATACCAATTTTCTTGTAACCATTTGATAATCTGTTTCTATAATCTTAATTTGTGTAATCCTTTAAGTTATTGTTAGGTAGTCTTTTGGGGAATCTCTTGACCTAGCACACACATTGCTTGGGGGTTTATTATGTTAAATATTACTTCTTTATAGTAAGGAAAACTTTTGCTTAACTTTGGTATGTTTGTTGTAGTTTTTCTTCAGGGGCCTTAATAGAGCAGGTTTCTCTGCTGGGTACTAGGGGCCAGAGAATCTCCTGTCAGCACCCACTCACAGGCTGTTATGTGACAAGGACCTCACTATCTCCAGAGGTAGTTTATGCCCGTGTTATATACCTAGCAGGGGGACAGAGGGGGCAGGACACGTGCAATTGCACTGCCAGCCTCGGCAGTCTGGGGGTGACCCACGTGCGATTGTTGATGCACTGCAGACCGTGTGGAGAGGCAGCTGTCTGTGCTGTGTGTTCAGAGCGCAGCGGAGGAGTAGTAAGGGGTGCTCAGGGAGGATGCCAGTGTGAGTGCTTTTAATTAGCTCAGCTATATTGAGGTCTTAGCCTTCTGCCAGTGGACTTTATCCAGTGATCAGTGACTTGGTGCTGTAGAATAATGTGTGTGTATGGACAGGGTAGGCAAAGGCCTTATGTGCTACTTAATTTCCATTTCCATTAGAGGACTTAAGTGATCCTGAGAGTCTTCAGCTGTAGCTGCTTGTCAGCATGATTTTGTACACACTAGTAAACTTACCTTTTGGCCTATAGCTTTGAAGCATGTCTAGATCTGTCAGGTCTTTGCTTCTAGGGAGATAAGCTATGAAGGAATGTAGGGCATTATTTTTTTATATATATATATATATGTGTATATATATATATATTTTAAAAGTATCGAGCACAGGGCAAGTGACAGTTCTAACCTCTTGTTACCAGTGTGTAGATAATGTTGGGGGTTTTCCCCCAGGCTATTTATAGTTCTTTGCTGCATTTCTCTTATTTCATCTGTACCATTCAATATTTTTCAGCAGTGCAGACTAATGATGGATTAGGCTGAGGTTCTTAGGCCAGATCCCAGCTGATACAACACGGCATGCTTCTCACTGCTTTTGGAGGCTGCATGTCTGATTTATACTGGCAGGAGACCTTTTCCATATCTCTCTGAGTAACAATGCATCTCAGTGTATTCTTGATTTTTCTAATGTAGAGCTGCAAACAAATCTAAAATCTTTTTTTTTTTTTTTCCTGCTAAAGAAGCCAGCCCACCTCTCCACTCCCATCCTCCCAAACTATCAGCAGTGAATTCTGTCTAGACACATTTAGAATGTAGGTCAAGTAAATGAATGATGCTAATTGCTACGTTGGGAGGGATTTCCACTGAGTATTTGGGCTCTAGATTCTGGCTAATGCCAAGAGGCCATTGTACAAAACCCACGCAGCTAAGAACAGAAGTATATGGAGTATTTTTATACTCTTGGTGACTAAAATATTTCTTTCTCAAGTCACTAATTAGAAAGGGAACGTTTTGTATTCTGAAGGTGAAATGGTAGGTCAATACTTTGTAACTATGAAAGTTATACTAGCCTATATAAGTAGCGTAGTGCTATGATGTGTTGCTGCTTTGCACTATAGCATTAAGGATAAATAACTTTGGGGGTTGCAAAGAGGAATGAACTGGCCTACATGTTAAGGTCTTTACGAATAAGATGACTGATGCAATCAACAGGCCAGGATATTGTAGCTTTCTCATGGCCAATAAAATGACAGTGGGCATTCAGGGGTACGTTGCGGGTGTGATCCCGGGTAGTACCGCATTGCTTAGGTGATCAGCATCCGTTGGGAGACTCCAGGACTGAGGGGGAAATTGCCATTTATTTTTGTGGTTTTGTGGTCAGGCTTTTTTCTGCTTTACTAAGGTATATGTATGAATTGACTTCCTACGTAGAAGAGAGTGTGTCTTGCAGGAAACTTTCATTTGTGATGCTGAAATGGAATTTGGATATTCATTATTACCAGTAGTCTCTTCTCTGCGCTAAAGCCCACCTCCATACTCTTCCTCCAAGAGTTGGAACTGAATAGGTGAGAACACAACATGGGAAAGCTGGAAAGACCTATCTTACAGAAGAGGTGAAAGAAGTGGCAGGTGAAGGGACTCCTGACATCACAGGGAGACCTTCTAGTTCTTGATTCCGTAAATCAGCAATGATAGTCTGTCTCATTAGTTCCCCCTTTGTTTTAGCTTTACTCTTCACCTTGCTCTTTGATACTCTGCAGTCCTGTTTATGCATATGTGACCTTGATGGCATATGCTGTTTTCCCTTC